TTATTCACTGTCCAGCTTTCACATGCATATGAGGTTATTGAAAATACCATGGCTTGGGTCAGGCGCACCTTAGTCCTCAAGCTGACATCTTTGCTCTTCATCACTTTCAAAAGGTCGTGTGCAGCAGATTTGCCTAATGCAATACGTTGTTTGATTTCTTGACTGCTGCTTTCGTGAGTGTTGATAGTTGATCCAAGAGAAATGAAGTCCTTGTCAGATATAGTGCCAAAAGATGAGCTCCTTGGTTGGTAGGCATTCAGAATGCAACTGGGGAAGAGCTGAGTTAACCGTGATGACGTGAATGGAGTAAAACCCTTGGAACCTTTATTTGTTGCTAGGGCACAATTCAAAATGAAAAGAAACAGCTGTAAATATCCATTAATAATTAAAACATGGAATGTGTGAAGTATGAATCTAGGAAAATTGGAAGTTGTCAAAAGTGAAATGGAATATATAAACATCAATATCCTAGGCATTATTGAGCTGAAATGGATTTTGAATCTGACAATCACGTGGTTTACTATGGCGGGAATGACAAAGTGAAGAGGAATGGCATTGCATTCATCATCAAAAAGAATATCTCAAGATGTGTCTTGAAGTACAATGCTGTAATAGGATAATATCATATACCTACAAGGGTTGTATTAAGACCAGTTAATATAACTATTATTCAAATTAATGCACCAACCATTAAAGCCAGTGATGATAAAATTGGAAGATTCTACCAGCTTCTTCAGTCTTACATTGATCAAACATGCAATCAAGATGTATTGATAATTACTGGTGACTAGAATTCAAAGGCTGGAAACAAAGAGGAAGGACCAGTAGTCGGAAAACATGGTCTTGGTAATAGAAACGATACTGGAGATTGCATGGTAGAATTTTGCACACCAATGAACTTCTTCATTGCAAACACCTTTTAGAATCAACATAAAAGACAACTATACACATGGACCTCACCAGATGGAATACACAGAATTCAAATCAACTACATCTGTGGAAAGAGATGTTAGAAAAGCTCCATATCATCAGCCAAAACAAAGCCAGGGGCAGACTGTGGAACAGACCATTGCTTATCTTGTAAGTTCAGGCTGAAGCTGAAGAAATTTAAAACAAATCCACAAGAGCCAAAATATGATGTTGAATATATCCAATCTGAATTTAGAGATCAGCTGAAGAACAGATTTGATGCATTAGACACTAAAGACTGAAGACCAGAAGATTTGTGGGATAACATCAAAAACATCATACAGGAAGAAAGCAAAAGATCATTAAAAAGACGTGAAAGAAGGAAAAGACCCAAATGGATGTCAGAAGAGACTCTAAAACTTCTTCTTCCGTTTTCAATGGCTAAACAATCAGAAGTAGTCTGCCTCGCCTTCTTAGTCTGGAAACTCAGCTGTCCACCATGGGTGACCCTTGTTGTTATTAAGTGCTGTTGAGTTGGTTCCGACCCATAGCGACCCTGTATAGGGTTTCCAAGGAGCAGCTGGTGAGCTTGAACCACCAACCTTGCAGTTCAAATGGCTTTACAGTCTGGCATATTAACCCACAGCACCACACCAGGACTCATATTTAAAATACCTGTGGCATAGCTTACAGCTTCACAGCAACACATAACCCACCACGGTGCAACAAGTTGGCTGACGAGTGGTAGACAACACATATTGGGGGGGGCGGGTAGGGGAAGCCATAATTCAATCCATAACAGAGCTCAAGCTACTTATTCTTGAACCATCTGTTCTACATATTCCCTGTGAGAATCTAAAGAGCTTCGTCTCCTTTTTCCCATGATTGAAGTTTTCAGAGACTTCATTTTGCTCAGATCAACTATCAACACTGATGGAAGCAGCAGTTAAGAAATCAAATGATGTATTTATTGCATTGGGCAAATTTGTTGCAGAAGATCTCTTTAAAGTGTTGAAGAGCAAAGATGTCAGCTTGAGAACTAAGGTACACCTAAAACAAGCCATGGTATTTTCAATAACCTCATATGCATGTGAAAGTTGCATAGTGAATAAGGAAGGCTAGAAGAATTGATGCATTTGAGTTATGGCGTTGGAGGAGAATACTGAAAGTACCATGGGCTGCCAGAAGAACCAACAGATCTGTGTTGGAAGAAGTGCAGCCAGGATGCTCTCTGGAAGCCAGAATGGCCAGACTTCTTCTCTCACACTTTGTCCCTGGAGAATGACATCATGTTTGGTAAAGTGGAGGAATGGAGCAAAAGAGGAAGGGCTTACTCCCAAGGTGATGGATCAGCACAGTGGCAGCCACAGTGGGCTCAAGCGTAGGGATTGTGAGGTTGGTGCAGCATCGGACAGTGTTTCTTTCTGTTGTGCAAAGGATCCATGAGTCGATACCAACTGAACGGCAGCTAGTAACAACATATATGTGTGTGTGTGTGTGTGTGCGCGCGCGCGTTGTTAAGTGCAATCGAGTCAGTCCGACCCATAGTGACCCTGTATAGGGTTTCTGAGGAGCAGCTGGTGAGCTTGAACTGCCAACCTTGCAGTTCAAACCGTCTTTCTAGCGCATTAACCCACAGCACCACTCCAGGACTCTCTCTGAGTTCCATTGTGCATAGGGTTGGACAACATCTAACAAAAGCAGCAATAACAATACACACACAGACATATTTTGCCACAATCTTCTCACCTTTCATCATTTCTTTTCATCCCCGTACACACATTCTCTATAAATGTTAATGAAAGTAACTTGATTTATGCTCTTCCTCAGCTTTGCCCTTGCCACATCTAGCAATGGCCACACCATTAGTGTTCTCTTTTGTTAGTGATTTTAACATTTCTCTATAGCTCTCTGTTTACCCCTAACAATACATCCTGGATGCATTTCTAGATCAGGAGATTAAGCTGTGTGTGTCTTAATAAACCATCAGCCATGCTATTCCCAGTACCACCTCTTCCTGCATAAACATTTTGAACATAACTGTTCCTTTTCCTTTTACAAGGTTCCCAGAAGAAAGACTGTTTGGGTCCCAGATCTCATGCACACTTTACATCTTAATAGTGATTCCCGAGTTACTTCTTTCCCATAGGACTCTAAAAATTTACATTTCCGTCAGCATGTGTGAGAGTGCTCCTTGACTCTGAACAGTCTTTTCAATATTGGTTAACTATTTATTTAGCAGAGGTGGATTTCTGTTCTAAGAGAACATCGCCATTGATGCTTCAAATAAGGCATTTACAGCCTGCCTGGACGCCCAGTGCGAATTAAAAATAAGGCATTTGTTGCCCACATTGAAGCTGAATAGCATTTAAACCCACATTATAGGCGGGGGTTTGGGGAGTTGGGGCTTTAATTTGGTAGGAGACGTGGTTTTCACGGGCTAGGGGCATGAACCCCACATGCACCGTCCAGGCCACGGGAGAGCCGGCCACTGAGGCCCCGTCCCTGGAGCATCCCCGGCGGCACGGCTCTCGCGGGGCCCGCGGTTTTGAGACGCCATCGCGCTTTCGACGGCGCAAAGTGCGGCCCGACGACGCGGGCACGTCGGGGCGTCTGCAGGAGGCACGCTTGTTAGTCCTCACACGCCTCACACGTCTCACACGCGGCGGGCGGCGGCTACAGCTGCGGGTTCTGAGGGCTGCTGAGCCAACGCAGCTGCGGGCTGGGGCGGGGCTCAGCTGGTCCGCTTTTTTCGCCCGCAGGTTTCAGTTTCGATTCTCGTTCGTGTCTCCGCCCCCAGGAGAGCCGGTAGCCGTCGAACACGCCCGCCTTCCACACCCGTCCGGACTTCCGACCTCCCGTGGCCTCTGGGACCCCCACGAACCCCAGACATGGCGCACGCCGCGGCGCTCGGCTCGGCGACCCAGTTGCTGTGCGCGGCGGGCGGTGTCCTGGAGTTGGACGAGCTGCGGGGGCGGCTGCGCGTGGACGCGGTGGCGCTGGAGGCGCTGCTGCGGGACAGCGAGCGGCTGGCGGTGGCCGTGCGGGGGCCCGGGGAGCGGACGCGGCGCGTGGTGCTGGCGGTGAGCGCCCTGCGCCTCTGCCGTGGGCCCCAGGGCGGCCAGGAGGCTTGCGTGGGGCTCTGCTCGCAGCTGCACCTCTGCAAGTTCCTGCTCTATGGCGCCTGCAAGTTCCAGAAGGCCGGGTGAGCGGCGCGGGGCCCCGAAGGCGGGCGGGCGGGGACTGGGGCCGCGCTCGGAACTCGCGGAGTCCTAACTCCTCCGGTACGTTCGCTATACCGAGTTCTGGGCAACCTAGAGCCCGTGTCGGGGGTGGGATGGAGGCTTGAGGTGGCGGGCGTTCGACCCCTTGGAGAAAATGCGGGATTCTGGGGGCCTCCGGAGCCGGGCCCCGGGCGTCGTCACGCCGCACTTGTCATGGCTCGCCTGCCTTTGACTACAAAGCGACGTCGTGATTTCCGCCCCCTTAGGTCCTTTTGGGTCTGGGTTCCTCCGGCTTCAGTTTGCCCGTTGTCCGCTTTCTCGTGCACCCCCGCCCCCCTCCCGTAGTGGCAGACTCGGTGAACGCGGGGCCCCAGCGGCCTCCCCCCGGCCCTGGGCCGTGGCCTTGTCGGACGCTCGGGAATTCCTGTTGCGGGGCAGCCATGTCGGGCGCGTTTGAGGGAGACGGGTGAGGCCTGGGGTGGCGGCCGATTTGGAGCGGGCCGGGCGGGGGGCCTGGCAGTCACTTGGGAGAGTTTATGGGGGGGTCTTCCTCGTTGACCCTTTCCTTCGTGCCGGAGAAATGAGTTCCTGCCGTGGAACTTGGATGGCGCGGGTCGGGCCCTCGAGTAGCGTGGATTATTAGGGTGTCGGGTCTGTGAAGTGTCAGGGACCCGGTGACGGAGCAGCCCCCGGAAGTGGTAGCCGCCCAGCCACGCACGCCCCGTGGCCCGGCCCTAGGGCAGAAGCTGCCTCCTGACCCCACCGGGTGCAGGAGGACTGGGGGATGGCCGTGGGGTCTGAAAAGGGGGTTTGGGTGAGAGCCTTCGGGGCACAAGTGGAGTTCGGGGAAAGTGTTAGGGCCAGCGGTGAATGGGATGCTGACGGCAGATTTATGCTCCCAGCCTTGGGGGGTGTTGGTGACTGACGGCGGGAAGGATTTCAGTTCGAAGCTGCCCTGGAGGCGGCTCTGCAGGTGGAAGCTGGCCGTGTGGGGGGCGCGAGATGGCTCGAAGTTGAGGCCTGAAAAAAAGGGTGAGGTTGAGGCCTGAAAAAATGGCGCCCGCGCGCGCCCGCGGGGAGTCTTCGGGTTCGAGACCCACTCCGAGAGGGAGGAGCCGCTCTGAGGAGAAAGGGGCGGGGAAACGGTCACGTGGTCGAGTGGGTTATGGGCGGGATGGCGGCACCGAGTTTGCCTCTTAGTAGTGTTCTCGCGTGGTAAAATAATGGTGGCGCTACATTCTTGGCTCTCTTTGTTTGGTGCCCGTCCAGCCGGTGCCGTCGAGCGAGCCGGTGCCCACTCACAGCGATCCTTGGGCTAGCCCCACTCCATGTGGTAAATCAAAATGGCACCCAATTCTCTGGCTGATTGCTTGTGATAATAAAACTTCAGCGGAAGCCTGATTCTCAGACGAACCCCTCATTTGTGGGAAAACAACATGGAATCCCGATTCTCAGGTTAAGTCTCCTCAGGTGGTAAAGTAACCATGAAGACTGATTCTTGCGTGAACCACCTACATTTGGGCCCAGTTTTTGTCTTGGACACCTAGGTGTTGGCATTTACTGACCTACGTGACTTGTGTTTTTCATTCTGGCATGGAATTTCTAGAACCTTCCCTCTCCATGGCCACATTAATGTGAATGGGTGTGCCTTTCTTGTAATGGCTTGTCATTAAAAGTTGTAGTCTCTTCTATTTCAGAAGTAAATCGTTGGCCCTGTCTTGTTCATTGCTTGCAGGGCTGATGAGAACCTTAAGGCTCCCATCCTGTAGGAGGTAGTGGGGCACTTGTTGAGTACAGTCTACAGCCTCTTTAGGTTTCTGCCTCAGTTCGTGGCCAGCTGGGTGATGTTGGGCAAGTTACTTTATACTCAAGCTTTAGTTTCCTCATCTGTGAAACAGGCATAACCACATTGCCTGCTTCATAGCTTATTGTGAGGACTGAATAGGTTTAACTCCTAAAGCACTTAGGCAAGTCCTTTGTGCATTATAAATGTGCGATAAGCATTAGCAGTCACCACCACTACCAGCGTCGTAATTAAATATATTTGGTTTTGGTAGCACCAAACATTTTGCTCCTATGCCTAGAGTGTTCTTCCCGCCTCTGCTTGTCCTGTCCTCAGACTTTAAGGATTTGACTTGGGCCTCCAGTAACTTTCACCTGGCTTCCTCCCCAGCTTCTGGCCCAGGTGCCCCTCCTTTGGGCTAATGTGCCCCAGCACAGCTGACCTTGCCCTTGGACCTCACATTAGAATCACTTTTGTCTGCTACTTCCATGGGGGGTGGGGGTGGGGGGCGGGGTGCAGGTGCAAGCGCAAGGATGACGCCATAGTTTCAACTTGTACCCTGGAGTCTCCTTCCCCTGAGAAAAAGGAGCAACCATGGGTTTGGGCTTATCTTTTCCATCTGACAAGTTCTGGGTCAGCTACTGGGTCTTAGTTCAAGGGGTGGTCTTCGGGCTGGATCTCTGCTTATGGGGTGATCCTTGGGCAGGTGTGTTTTGAGTGAAACTATTTCAGAGATGCTGAACCATACACTTCCTACTGCACTGCTTTTGTGGGCCTCACAATCAAGTTCTCTTGTAGAATTAAACTTTGTGCAAGTCAGTGAGAGGGCTTTTAAATAACAAAGGATTGCAAGAAGCCAGTTTTTGGTGGAGAAAGATTTAAAGTGACTGAGGAGTACCCAGGTTCTAGAAGTTGAAGGTGGTAATGGTGAATGAAGGTGGTTGATTGGGAGAATCACCCTAGGGGGTTGGACTCCAATAGGTCTTTCTACACACACCCATAGGGCAGGACCGCTTGTCCCACCTGATGAAGAAATGTCATCAGATGCAGGCATGGTGAGATCTGAGTCAAGCAGATGCTCTTTGCTTGACACTTCCGGGTCTGGTGATCCAGGCATTCACATGCAGGCTTATCTTTACTCCTCAGTGTTTGGGCCAGAGGGTGGCACAGTGAGTGCTGGTCTGAGCTAACAGTTGGAGAGAATGGAGGAGGGGGCAGGAGTGGGGACAAGGCCTCAGGTGGGCCCTTGGAGAAACTCCTTTCCTCTAGCCTCTTTTGTGTGCATCTGGTGTGTGGGTCTGTCTCTGTGTGTGTGAGCATGTGCCTATCTATGACCACAAGGCATTCCTGTTCACTCACTTTGTGATGGTAAGTGTCCCTGAGTACTAGGCCCTCTCCCTGAGTTGCTCTGTGATCGGTGACTTAAGAGGGAGGACCTTTCCTTGGCCTGTTGTTCTCAATCCAGTGTCTCTGAGGGATGCTATCTTAGGCCCTGGAACTTTCCAGGTACCATCCCCTTTGTAGATGAGAATTCTCATTGCAAATATCTACTTGGTTTTTCTCCTGGCTGCCGTCTCACTTCTGACCCAGGTGTGTGTCCCTCCTCTAGGCTGATGTGTCCCAACACAGTTGAGCTTGTTATTTACCTCATATTGGAATCACCTGTCTGTGGTATTTCCTCCATTGGGGAGCAAGGATGACTCCAGGGTTTCAGTTTGTACCCTGGATTCCCCTTTCACTGAGAAGGGTGCCACCGAGTCAGTCTGCTTGTGAACTTCAGGAAGTGTTCTAGAGCAATCCTCTTAAAGATTGACTTTACCAGCTCTGCTTCTTTGCAGGAAGGGCTGTAGGAATGGCCACAGCCTGAAGACCCTACACAACCAGGGTGTGTTGAGGGCCCATGGCATAGACCACCTCAACTTCATGGAGCTCTGCCAGCTCCTATTCCAGAATGACCCCTGGCTCTTACCGGAGGTGAGTGCCGTCTGGGTGGCTCAGTGTGTGGCAGGAGGGAGAAGCGCCTTAGGGGTCTGGTAGGTGGCTTGGATGAGTGCTTACCAGTGATGACTGAACAACATCAGGAATGGAATGACTGCCACACACATGTGAAAGTGATAGAAATGGCAGTTTTGTCACTTCTATATTTACCTCCCAAGCAGATGTTTCGGTCAAGGGAGCTGCTCTGGTCAATTGAAAGCTTTCTGGATTTTACCAGTGGGGAGGGGCTGGTTCTGACCATTTGATCTTCTCCCTGTCCCCATTGTAACCATGGACCATTGTAACCTTGTAGAGTTAGTGAGATCCTCCTAGCATGAGCTATGTGGTCAGCGGGATCACAGCGAGGCCTTGGGGTCTGTCTTGACTAGTGGGGTCCCTGAGCTAGTGTCTCTGTCCTTCTCTTTCCAGATCTGCCTCCATTACAACAAAGGAGATGGGCCCTATGGCTCCTGCACCTACCAGACACAGTGCGTCAAACTCCACATCTGCCTGTACTTCCTGCAGTGTGAGTGCAAGTTCGGTGCCAGCTGCAAGCGATCCCATGACTTCTCCAGCCCTGAGACGCTGGCCAAGCTGAACAAGCTGGGTATGAGCTCCGAATTGGTGCGGAGGCTGCCTGCCATGTATAGGAATGCACATGACATCAAGAATCGGAGCTCTGCCTCAGACACCCTGCCTTCGGTCCTCCGGGCAACTTCAGGTGAGACTGGCTAGGGGATGGAGACCTGGGTTCTTTTTAGGCTGTCTGCTTCTGAGCAAGTCTGTGCGCCCCTAGTAAAACAGGGTATAAAGATGATTGGAGTCATACACGGGCATCTGTCAGACACTCTAGATGAGTGGTGGGTAGTGACCACTGATGAAATGTCTGGTCTAGGAATGGACAGCCTTGCTCTCCCCCAGCCCCTTGACAGGATCCACAGAATCATGAGCCCCATGCCACAGGTCTCCGGGTAGCCTTCCTAAGGCTTCTGGTTTTTTTTTTAGTTTTTTAAAAGTTTTTATTGTGAACCTGAGTGATATAGTTTACGTGGGAGAACATTGGCTCTACACAGTTTCATTGGAAAGACTATGATCTCCATGCATCATCATTCAACAGTATTTGCTTCCATTCACTGTTTTTATTGCACGTGCCAGGACGGGGAGGGGATGTATACAGAAACACTCAGGAGTGTATAATATAAACAAGCATAGGACGCATTCTGCAAGCCTGCCTCCTGGCCACCAGCACCCAGTTCCTCTCTTTCCATGAGGCCAGAGTCCTCAGCTGCACTCTCTCTCCATGTCCTCATCTTGGCCTCTATCTTTGATGTTGCTGCTTCTCTGCATAGGGTCCTGCACTCCGCTTGTGCTCTTCTCCCCTAATGGTCCTAGGGTCCTCTTTTCCTGGACTGTAAGATTAACTACTCCCCCTTTTCCTGGACTGTTAAGATTAACTATTCCACCCTTTTTGTTACAAAACGTCTACCTTTACAGTTGTGCCAGTTGGAATTAGTCATGATAAGTTATTCATTATTGAATCATAAAACTCTTACCCCATCTCTTTTCACCAGACCCATCTAGAAAAGATGAAAACTATTCAGTGGGGACTCTACCTTCCCCCACACACTGAAACTAAACTCCCTTTTGAAAACTTGTAAGCCAGTCACTTTGTGCCTCTATTCCCCCCTCGTTTTAGGTAGTCAGTGTCTAAGTTGTCCCTTCCTATCTACCCTGTGTACAGAGGGAATAAGATTGACACTTGATGTGAAGACTCCTTCCCTCTCAGTTGGTATTTTTAGCTACTACATCCATAAGTATAGGTCAAGTTCATCAGATTGTAGCAATTTATACTCCTTTTCTTTATCAGAAAAATTTTTTTTTTTTTTTAATCTTCCTTTAGTTGAATTCTTATTATCAAGCTATCAAGGCTAGGTTAAATGGGTATTATCTGCAAGTTTGGGCATTCTTGTGCATCTCCCCTCACTTCATATCAGCTGGATGCTTCACTCTCTGCTCTAGCCCTCGGTGGCTATGACCTTGTCCCTGGGTTTAGAGGACTCTCCAGGTCTCACCACACTTCAGACCAACCAGCCCTTCTTCTCTCATCTCCAGTTCAGTGGGAGTCTATGGAACATGGTTGAACTCAGCCCATTTCTTCATTGTTGCCTTTCCCCTCTTCCACTCACCAGTAAGCTTACTTGCTTATGTGTTCCTCTGAGTTTCAGTCTTGGAGGGGGCTTGATTGATTGCCTTGATGGCTCCCTGGCAAACAACTTGCTTGTTCTTATAGTAGCCAGTCAGACTGCCATTTTTGTTTTGGATTTTTCCTGCTGATCTTTTTTTGAAGATGTATCTTCTGTTACTGTAGCTTTTCATTTCTAGTGGGAATGTCCCACTTTTCAAGGTTCTGGATGGGGCTCAGGATTCCACCTGAGGTCTATACAATGTAAAGGCTCCGCAAGAGGCCTGTTTCACTGGGCAAGTTCTAGAACCCCTTTTAGGTATTCCCATCAGTTAGAGGCTGAACACGGGCTTACAAGTTTTCTGTAATCATGTTTCCTGACATTCCTTTCTATCCCACTCAGGTGTTTATTTTACAATAGTAGGCAAGGGAAACCAATATTAATAAGACAGTCAAGCATCTTAACCTTATTTCCTGAGGGTTGTGTTTAATTAAAAAAAAAAAAAACTTGAAAGAAGCAGGCTTTCCTTGTGATGGTGGCTGCTTCCTGTGGTGCACAAGTGGAATTTTCTGGGCCACTATAAGTGTGTCTTTTTTTTTTTTTTTTTTTTCCAGGTTTATATTGTGGATTGAGTGAAAGTTTACAGGGCATATCATCAGTTTTACATTCAACAAATCATACACCTTGTTTCATTACAATGGATATAATCCCCTCCATGTACCATCAGTTAACAGTATTTCTCTCTATCCACTTTCGCTTTTTGAAAAACCCACTCAGGCATATATAAGAATTTACATCTCCAAAGGGCACATTCTGCAAGTCTGCTCCTGGCCACCAGCTCTTAGTCCCACACCTCTTAGTCCATGAATCTAAAGTCCTCAGCCACTCCCCCTCTCCATGCCCCCATCTCTGCCTCCATCACTGGCGCTGCTGCTTCTCTGGATAAGGTCCCGCATTCTGCTTGTGCATTTCTCTCTTGATGGTCCTAGGGTCTTCTGTTTCTGGACTGTTAAGATTAACCACTCCCATTTTTTTGTTACAAAACTTCTGCCTTTATAATTGTGACAGTCGCCATTAGTCATGATAACAATTATTCACTATTGAATCTTACGAATCTTATTCCCATCTCCTTTCACCAGACCCATCTAGACAAGATGATAGCTATTCAGTGGGTATTCTTTCTTTCCCCTCATATTCTTAAACTAAATTCCCTCTTGAGACCTTGTAAGCCAGTCACTTCGTGCCTTTATTGCCCCCTCATTTTAGGTAGCCAATGTCTAAGTTGCCCGTCCCGATCTACCCTGTGTACAGAAGAGAGATAGCATTGATACTTGATGTGAAGACTCTTTCCCTCTCTGTTGGTATTTAGAGTAACTACCACTCTGAATATCCTATCAATCCTGGTACAGTCAAGAAAAGCTTTCTCAAGATGGCGGCTCCTGGAACAGCTGAGTGTCTTGATCCAGAAAATAATAAATTTCTGGATTCTCCTGCAAATTCCCAGCTATAAACCCTCCGAACTTCCAAACATACCTTTATATTTGTTAGAGTTCCAACACCAACTCATGAGTCCTCTTGACCTGGTATTCCGTGTTGTTGTTGACCGAGCTCCTCACTACACATCTACCTGATCTGCCATCTTCAAGGAAGGCCTGGTAGTATAGTGGTTAAAACAAACAAACAAATAAACAAAAAACCTGGTTGCGAACCTCGTGGTCAGCAGCTCAAATCCTCCAGGCCCCCCACGTGAGAGAGATGAGGCTTTCCGCAACTTGCAGTTAAACAGCCTTGTGGAGAGATGGATAGTAGGGTGGGAAAACAGGTGGGTTCACACCAGATGCCTGTGATTCGATATGGATTACATCTCAATGTCAAGAAAACAAAAATCCTCACCACCAGGATTGATAGGATTAGGAGAGAACATCTTGATTGTATCTTGATTATATCTTATATATATCTTGATTATATCAGGATTGATAGGATTAGGAGAGAACATCTTGATTGTATCTTGATTATATCTTATATATATCTTGATCATATCAGGATTGATAGGATTATACCAGGATTGATAGGATTAGGAGAGAACATCTTGATTGTATCTTGATTATAT